CGGCCCGGCCGGCCCAGGCCGCGGGCTGGCGGGGCTCTGACGGCGCCCGTCCTTCTCTTGCAGGTGGAGGCGCTGCGGGCGGAGAGCGCGGCCCGGGCCCCCGGGCAGCGGAAGGCCCTTTCGCAGAGGTGAGGCCCCTGCCTTCGGGGTCCCCGGCCCCTGCCCTCGGCCTTCCCCCCCTTCCCTTCAGTACCGCTCCGAGGCCAGGAGCTGCGTGGCTTAACAGGTTCGCTCCGTCCCCCTCGCCCCCGCATCCGAAGGAGCGGACGGTTCCCTGCGCGCCTTCCCATTTCCCCCTAGCTGTACAGACCTCTTCCCTGCCCCTCTCGCTCATCTCTTTGCCAGTCCTCGAGGGCTGAGGTGGTTTGAAGTGGGAACGTGCACATCACCGGTAATAATCCGCTAAGCTGCTGTTCGGGCTCGTGTTGGTATTTGTCTGGCTGTATGCACACAGAGCTGGGCAAAGCTCTGGGTTTTTTCTACGTTTCAGTAAGCATGCATGATTTCGGTCATCCATCTATCGGAATTTTAAGAAAACGCTATCTGTCTCGTTTTGCTTTCAATGCAGATGTATGCAGCTGAAGAAATTGGTGGATGAGAATACAAACGCTCTTCATAATTTGAAAAAAGTAAGTGCGGAGACAAATTTGGTAATGGTTTTCTCCAAAATGCATCACGGAGAGCGTTTGGAGAACACCGGCCTCCTTCGGCTTTAGATGCCTCAGGGCAAGAGCAATGCCTAGCGCTGCACAGCCCCCCACTGGCAGCTCTGAGATCCATTTACATTATTTAAAAGTACATTTTTAATGCCTTATTGTGTACAAGTTCTGCGCTTAAAATCTTTATCAACCCAGTGTATTACATTGCAAGTGGAGAATGAAGGCTTCAACACGAAATTTCATCCTGGCAGAGTAAAAGGGCAAGAAAGATGTCGCTAAACAGGGAGCGACAGCAGCCTGGGAAGGTGAAAGCTTGTAAGACATGTCTGGAAAACTGACTTTACAGGGGAACTTTGATTCTTTGAGCAATTTGCTGTGTTCTTCTTTCTCAGGCTGATGAGCCTGCGCCTGTGGGGAACTATAACCAGAGGAAAGAAGAAGAAGAAAAGCTCTTGCTAAAACTCTCGCAGCAGCTGCAGAAACTTGTTCTTGTGTTGGATCAGGATAACGTGACTACGACTTACGCAGCGTAAGTAGCTTAAATAAATACAATCTGCACTTTAATAGAATTGCACATGTACAGTTGGAAAGGACCCTGAAAAACTGTTAGCTCAGCCCCTTCATTATCTTAACATACAGTTAAAAAAGAAGTAGGGAAGGGCCAGCTCCTATGGGGCTTGTCTTCTTGATGCAGTCAAGAACGACTCGCTGGAATTTTCTGAGGGTGTTGGTTAACGGCTGCAATAGAATGTGGCTGTCGAGAGGAGAAGATGCAATGGGGTCTGTACGCTCAGGGAGGAAACGCCATTGGGATTTTGGAGTTTTTTCAGATCGGGACAGGGAGTAAAACACAGGAATGAAGATTCTGTGTCTGGATAATGTCCTGGCAGAGAAGCCCATATTGCTTTCAAGAAGTTTTGTTAAAATAATAATAAAGAAAGTTTGGTTTATTTTGGGTAGGGATGAGGAACATCAGAAAGATCCTCAAACAGAAGATGAAAATGGAGAAGAGGATGAGAGTGAAGATGAAGAAAGTAGTGAGGAGGAAGAAGACAGTGAAGAAACAGATGATGAAGATGAGGATAAATTGTTGGATGATCCAAATGTTAAAGAATGCGTTGCAGTTGGAAACTTTAACGCACAGCAGGAAGGGGATCTCACATTTACGGTAAGTATGTCTCTGTAAAAGCTTTTTGACATGTCAGTACTGCAGATCATTCTGTATGAAGCAATAACCGTAATTAAATCCTGTGCCTCTGGGATTCAGCCAGTTCCTTGCGGGATTTGGGGAGAAATGGCTTTTCCTGGTGTACGTTTGGCTTGGTGGAGTCCGGTGGAGTCCGGTGCCCTTTTGCCACCTTCTGTAGCGGCCGGGTCTGTTGCGGTAGTCTGGGATCTCTGTTGTGGGAAAAATTAAGTTTTTGTGGGTTCTTTTAATTGTGCCTGGAGCTGTTTTGAAATATTTGGTTGTCTTTTGTCTCTGTCTCTCCTTCCAATGGCAAAGAAAGGTGAGGTCCTGCTTATACACGACAAGAAGGCGGATGGCTGGTGGGTAGCCGAAAACTCGAAAGGGGAGAGAGGCCTTGTTCCTAGAACCTATCTTGCGGTTAGTGTGCTGCCACCTTCTTCTGTTCTAGTCTCACCTCTGTCGGTTTATATATATCTATGATAATACAGCTGCGTAAAACTGATCATAATGCTTAGATGGGGACACAGAGCAGTGTTTTGCCAGTTATTTGGAAATAGCACCGTGTTTGTATACATGTGTGCGGAGACAGCGAGCAAAAGCGGTGGTTTCGTGCCTCGTGAAGATGTGACACGTAAGTGCAGAGAAGTTTCTTGAATATGAAAGCCATAACCTTCGTCACTAAAGATCAACTCTCAAGACTCCAAGCTGCTATGGACTAATTTGGGCTTTTCATAATTTATATGAAATGTGAGTCCATGTAAATGTTGGAGTATTTTGTAATTTGACACAGAAGAACCTTTCCAAAAATAGCTTTTAAAGTTTTGTAACTTTTGAAGTTTCATTTTGAGAGTGGCTCACACGCGTTACTTTACGTACTTATGCGCGTATATCCAGCGTACAATTGTGGTGAACGTTTAAATGTGGGTACAGTTTGGATGGAGTGAGTCCTGTTAGTCCGACCTTTACCCTGTGGAACAGAGCTTTTCACAGCGTAACTAAGGAGCACGTTGAGTAGCTAACGTTTTACTTCATGATGCTGATGTATTGCTCTTTTTAAAGAATCCGCTTGGCAAATGCATTCTCGTGCTTACTTGTAGGAATACTCCAATCCCTTGCCGTAACTCTAGAACTAAGGGCAGCGTTCTGCAGTTACAGAGCTATGGAGTGATAGGTCACTGCAGACAGAAAATCTCCTCTTCTAAACTGTTTACATGTGCTGTGGTTGGAGAAAGCATTTTTAAGAGCAGAACCGTGAAGAAATCATGCGCTTTCCCTTGCTGAATCTGCACTACAGGTCCATCGCGAAGATGTCGACAGCCAAGAGCAAAGTGAAGAACACATAGAAGTGGTGGATGAAACAGCAGATGGAACTGAAATTAAAAAAAGGTAAATGGATGATGTGAAAGCAAACATATAAAATTATTCTTCCTCCTCCTTAAATCTGGCAGTACGTTTCTTACAGTGAGAACACCTCACAAGGGTATCTGGCTCTTTGTGACTGCATGTTTCTTTTCAGGACCGCAGACACTTGCTTTTCTTTGAGCTTGCAGACACACGTTTACTTCAGTGGCTTTGTTTGGGAGTTTTCCTTTGGTTTGCCTTTTTTTCCCCCCTCGCAAAATCAAAGAATGACTGGGTCATCTATCGAATTACGTTCCAGCTCATGAGATAGTCTAGCGATGAGTCTTAGTAGCTGGAAATATATCACTATTAGTATAGATTATTAGATTATTATCTATTAGATAGATATGGTTATTAAGCTGCTGGTATTTGAAGTCAAACGTGTATTTAGCGTTTAAATTTTTGTTCACGTGAGGATGACATTATAAAAAATACATTATTTTTCTTCCAGAACAGATTCTCACTGGAGTGCTGTAAGAAGAGCTATCACAGAGGTAGGCGTAGCTCTTACACAGCAACTTCATCTACCGTAATGTTAATTATTTGGCAGAAGAGGTTTGCCTTTTACCAAACGCTGTTTCTCATAGTACAGGCCAATGTTTTTAATGAACATCTCTATCTTGGTTTTTGTAGCAAGAAATTCTAAGGTTCTCTAATGCTTTAGAAACAGGCTGTAGCCCAGTCCTTGTGTCTGAATGAAGACGCAAATGAGATGTCTTTTCTGGTTTTGCCACAGTAGTGCTACGCCGTGTCTTTCAAGGGCGTGATTTTGTTCTGTAACCAGCTGCTCTGCTGCTGCTTTGAAATGGAAGGGGGATTTAGCAAAATGGGAGCCTGGCTGGGTTGATACATGAAACAGAGTAAAAGTAGTTCCCGGAGATGGGCCAAACTAGCTTCAGATGGGAAGAGGTGACTGATGCCCCAGATCTCTGATATCGGTTGTGTGAGAGTTCTAAATTAGGATAGAATTAGACGTTAAATAGCAGGAATACTAGTATCTGTCTGTCTGGTTTTTAATAGAATGACACAGTAGAGGTATTGGCAACCATAGGAGCAGTTCCTGCAGGATTCCGCCTATCCACACTTTTCCAGCTCTTAGAAGAAGGTAAGGTTTTCTCATAGTAACTGTGGTGCAGGATTCTCCAGTGTCTGTGGTGGGTTTCTTATCCTGGTTACTAGCCTGTTGGACTAAAATCAGTATTGCTTAATTATAATTGGAAATCTGTACAGGCTATAGTTGACCCGTCAAATAATGTATAAAGGCTTTTTTTTTTCTTCTTCAATTAAGTTTTAGTTTATCTGTGTGAAATCCTGGCCACAAGGAGGCAATGACACATTTCCTCATGATTTCAAAGATTTTCCTCTTTGGAAGAGAATTCCTGTTGATGTTGCAGGAAATGATGATTTTTTTTTTTTTTTTTTAAATCTTGCCTTTTTCACAGAGACCTTTTGGAGTCTCTTCACCGAGTATATTACACATCTCATATTTTCTTTGTCTTTTTGTTTAAAACCGTTCAAGTCAATAGCTCTTTTTGTTGATCAAATTACTGTGCTTCTGGAACGAAATACTGCAGAACACTTGCGAATAGTAAAAGTACCCTTTTTAAAGGGTGCTTGTAGACGATACCTCCATAGTTTCGTTTGGACCAGTCAAATATTCAAATGGACTTTAGCCACATCTGAATTTTGGGTGTTGTTCATTTTGTGGCAATAAAGATCATAAAAAAAATTTTAAGAATTTAAAAAATTACTCTTGTTGCAGGCGATCAGTTTCGAGGAAGTTACTTTTTGCAGCCTGAACTTACTCCATCACAGTTGGCTTTCAAGGACTTGGTGTGGAACTCTGAAAAAAATACTGTGAGTATTACTGGCAAGAAAGCTATGATGCTTTTGGTTTGAGAGAAATGGCAGGATCTGTAGATGTGGATTGCTAGCAATATCTCATATTGGTGGGTAAATGTTGCTGTGAAACAGACGATGGATTTCGATGTCAATCTAGCCTCCTTCGGCAGTAGATGTTATCACTTCTACTCTCTAACAGCCAAAAAATCGGTACAAATTGTCAAGTTGGGTATCTTTTAAGAGTCGTGTTTCATCTTAAGTTTGTGGGTTCCTTCCCTGTCTGGGGTGAAGCAGATCTGCATGGGTGACGAGTCTGAAATTTTAAACCATGAACTTCTGCTAGGCACTGTGAAATCACCCATTTCATTTGTCGTCTTTCATTTTGGCTAATGATGAGGTCTTGATTTGCACCATTTTTAGAATATTTCTTTCTTCTCAAACTTTGACAGGACCTTCTGTCTGTCGCACTAAAATATTTGTAGCAATCTCCTTAGAAGAGAGCTAAAGGCTTATGAAGAAATTTGGTTGCTGTTGCTAATACTACACAAGCTCTGTGGTTAGAAGAATGCAGTCTAGTGAACGCTACAGTCTGTCACCTCAGTAAATAAAACCAAACTCATACCACATTCAGGAGGAGCCTGTAGATTTAACCCTTCTGTTGTCTGTATTTCAGATCTATCCTCGACCAACTCGAGTATCGCTGATTGTAACGTTATCTAGCTGTAAAATGATTCCTCTCCCAGGAGTCAGCATACAGGTTCTCAGTAGACATGTTCGCCTCTGTCTATTCGACGGCAATCGGGTAAGTTGTTTGGCTATCAAAACCAGTCTTGAGGTCTGGATCTTTCAGGATCTTTCACGCTCTGGTCCCTCCGACAGCCAGCTCCTCCAGTTGTCTCACTGAGAGAGAGACGCCCCCACACAATCTGCCTCCCAAGCCGCTTAACTTGCTCTCTGATTTCTCTGGCTCGATCCTCGCCTGCGTTCACATGCAGACGTACGTACCCTCGCTCCCCCAGCTGCAGTCACTGCAGACGTGTAGGCCGCCAGTGACCTGTGGCCTGGCTACCACCTAGGTGTCCACACACACGTGCATTCAGAATAGAGAGCCCATTCACCCAGAAAAATAGTTACAAGTGGAGTTTAATGAAAAAACAGGACAGACTGCACTGATCAGGCGCTGGGCGTGGCCAGACACGCATACTTACCCCTCTATTTTCCCACCCTTGTTATTCCACAAAGCACCTTGATCCCTCCCTTTTTCTGCCTTTGGTTCCTCCCCTGAGCATCCCACAGTAAGTCATGTGCAGTCCCAAAATGCTCTTCCCTGGCATGCCACCGTGTCTCCTATCCCCTTTCAGTCTGTAAGGCGATCCAGAGAGCCGCTCCTTTTGACTCATTACAGCGATGGGCGTCACACCCGGCCCCTGGGCCGCCCTGGGAGGGGCTGGAGTGAGAGCTCCGTTCCTCCCAGTCTGTAATTTCGGTTCCCCCACCTGCCATTGTGCCTCTCTGCTCCTTCGTGGCTGTGGAGATGAGCCTTTCCTGGGCTGATCTCCCTCCGGTGACGGGCCTGGGAGTTGCTGGGTCAGGGTTGTATTCAGATTTCCCCACCCGCAGTTGTTCCTCTGCGCTCCTTTGTGCCCATGTGTAGAGAGCAGCTTTTTGTAACAGCATCTAATGCTGGCAATCCGGCGGTTTTCTTCCCGCTGCACTGAACGCTCTTGGGGGCAAAGGGACTATTACTGGTGTATACGGAGCAAGGATGGTTGGAAAGTGCTCTGTGGCTTCAGAGAAAACTTCCTCCGTAGTCCTTTAAACTGAAACCATCTGATTGAGTTCTGATTGAGTTTCTCCTCAAGTTGAGGAGAAAGCGTAATTTTGTCTTTGTTGTGTGCAGTGTTGGATTAATCTGGGATAATACTGCATTTTCGTAAAGCTGCGTAACTTTCCAGAAAAAAATTGTCTTAGCTTTTTTCACCACTGTCATGCTTTAGGTGCTGAGTAACATTCACACGGTGAGAGCTACGTGGCAACCTAAAAATCCTCAGACATGGACCTTTTCTCCAAGGGTAGGTATCTCCCTCAGGGAGCGACATAGCCACTATCTATTTACAGCTTCTTATTTAGTGACATCTGTTACTTCTGGTATTCGTGTTGAAATAAAACGTACTGCAGCCAAAATTAACATGCAGAAAAGGTGAGACTTGCTGAAGCGCATGAATTCAAACCAAACTGTTTCAGCAAAAACACTTTGGAGAAAAGAGTTGGGAGGAAGGAAAAGTAGGGGGAGGGACTGGTGATCCAGCCGGTGGCACTGGTTTGAACTGCTCTCAGGTGCACGCTACGTGGTGCCCACGGAGAAGGGAAGGCACTAGCCACTCTGCGTGTGGGCTTTTGCTTTGATTTCATTAAAAAAAGAGCACGTTTCAGGTGCTGTGCAGGGCCACGCTCACAGCAGGAGTGTTGTCGTGTTTTACCACAGTTGGTGCTGTGTTCTTGGAGGGAATTAAGTGCTTTTTTGACATCCAGAGTTCTTTAATAGCTTGTCATCACACACAAAAAAGCACCTCGGTAGCAGAGCCGTGTTTCATGGCAAGATAAAGACTAAGAGGAGCAAGGTTTCACCTGAAATTGGTTCTCTACTCATCCTTTTCTTTTATATGCAATGGGATTGGGTCTGAGATCTTACATGAGTGAGTGATGTGTTTGATGGCCTTTAAAAATCAGAGGGTTTTTATAGGTACATTCACTTTTTTTTTTTTCTTTTCCCCCCTCTCTGTATTAGGTAACGGGCATTTTACCCAGCTTGCTGGATGGTGACTGTTTTGTCAGGTCCAACTCTCTGTCTGCAGACATCGGTATATTATTTGAACTTGGCATCACTTATATTCGCAATGTAAGTGTGTAAAGTTGCAGCATAAATCATTCCAAGCACGTGCTTATAAAGCGAACCAGCTGCCCATATTCGCTGTTAAGCTGCAGTATCCCAGCAGTGAACTGTGAGATCCAAGCGGAAATTTAGCTGAACTTTTCCTAGCTTACTCTAAGATTGTCTTCCTTTTGGCTTCTGGGAGGGAGGAGAGAGATGTTGGGTTTTGGAACTTTTAGTTCTAGTCAATAAAAGACTTTCTGACTAGTGGAGATGAATGTACCTTTACTTGCATTGAAATAATTCCTGTTAGTCTGCCAAAGATCTCGTGTAATGTGATCGTAAAGGACCAATTCTCTCTTCACTCCTGCATTGTTTTGTTATCTTTGTGATTTGTTTCAGACTACCGCGTTATATAGTTTGGAAACTAAAATTTTAACTGTTTAAATAGTATGGACACTGGTTTCTAGCTGCGATTGATACAGATATATCCTGTCCCTGTAGGATATGCTTCTGAAAAGTACAACGGGTAGTGACGCAATAGATGGTAAAGCCCATAAGGACTACTGTAATAGAAGGTGGATGCATGCAGGAGCACAAGAAACACTAATGGTTGGGGGATACGGTGGCTTTTCGGAACAGAACCCTGTTCTGAAAGATCTCAGCCACTTTGTCTACAAGACTGACTCGAGTCTTGCTGCCTCTTTCTGAACACTGACATTTTCACTATGGTCGCAGTCTTCCTCGGGTGAATCTTGGCAATTGAGTAAATCAGGGGTGAAGGATGAAAAGTGGGGTAACCACAACGGTTAGCAAGCAGGGTATTAAATGGTGGGCAACAGAATTCTGAAAAGATGGATAAAGAAGTCGCAAAGGGGAGTGTTGCTGTATTTTCTCTTTCACTAACACCTGTACGAGCTTAGGGTGCAAGAGTGTGGTGGCGGTGGAGGTGCGGAGGAGGGACATGCGGGTAGCGTGGTGGGGATGCAGAAGGGTTGTGCAGGGAGATAAGTAGAGCGTACGTCTGTAGGGAACTGGACTGTGTAAGTCCTGGTGATGAACAGCGTGTTGGTAAGCAACGGTTCACAGAGACCTAACGGAGCATAATGGCCCTCCTCACGCTAATGGGAGCAGTCACCATTAGGCAAAGTTGTCTGCTTCTGTTTACAGAGTAAGTTTAAACGAAGGCTGAAGTGCGTACAAGTTCCTACCTGTTATTGGTGCTCTTGGGGTCTGGAAACGGATGGGCTGGCGCACAGGATCAGCTCCCTGTCCCAGGCGCTGTCTCTGGCACTGTGAATAAGGCCGCCTGATGCACGGGGTCACTGGCTTGGAAACTGTTGGCTCTGGAATCAGATGGGTAAATCCTCTGGGTATATTTTTTTCCCTCCTGCATTCTTCAGAGTATCAGTGCAGGTTTAGGGGCTTTTACCTTTGTATCTGTGCATTTCTTCTTTTTCAGGAGCTTGATATACTTAGGTTTCCCTTCAATATGTATTTCTTGGCTTTATAAATCCTCGTCTCCTACATACGTTCATGGATGATCAGCTGAAGTTCAGCACAACTGTGCGTGCTGTTTGGTAAAACATCTTCAAGCACCTGTGAATGTGACATAGTCAATGTTTACCATAAATCTGGGGCTTTCACCATTTTAATGGGATTATTCTAAAGAGTTGTTTGTGGTTCAGTTGCTCATTCTGGATTAGCTGTTCAAGTTATTTATGTTTCTTTTTTTTTCTAGTCAACAGGTGAAAGAGGAGAGCTAAGCTGTGGCTGGGCCTTTCTGAAGCTTTTTACTTCTAATGGAATGCCTGTTCCTTCCAAGTAAGTTTATTATGTTTTCCTTCTCTCTGTCTTTCTCTCTCTGTATTTACATATGTATGTATATAGATATATTTTAGGCTAGGAGTTTCTAAGACTTGGAAGCAGGTAAGAGTTGTTGTGAGTGAATCTCTTACCATTCCCTTGGAGAGTATGAACAAGCTTATATTTTGCAGCTGATTTATGATTAGTTGATGGGTCCAGCCATCTTAAAGAATAATAAAATGTACATATTTCTATTTTATTAAATGTAGGGAAGCTTTCTGTTAATTTACAGAAATGGTTCATTGTAGATCACACTTGCAATACTTGTTTTTTACCAAATACGTATATAGATATAGATACACAGATATATACGTGTATTCTGAATATATTTGGATTACAGGGCACCAAAAAAACCCCACGGGAGACATCTACTGTTCTATAAGTCTCTCAATCTTTTCTAAATCTGCTCTCTAACATTGTTTTTCTATTCCATTAAGTTAAAGATGTTATTTAGAGAGCGAAATTGCATGATTGCTTCAACAGTGACTTACTCTTGACAGAACTAGGATTACATTATTCTTCAACATTTTGAATCTTCCATATCTAAAATTGGATACTTAAGCAATGACTCCTCAAAAACATTTTAGTGCAACAACTGCTAAATTTCACATAAGAGGAATACTGGAGTCACATGGAAGAGAATCAGTGTTGCTAATTCCTTTTAAAATAATTAACTAGTTTCCCAATATAATACAAGTTTCAAATTTATCATTTGAGGTTTGGTTACTTAGTAATTATGTCTAGCCATTTCATATAAAATACTAGTCCTAACTGCAAGCACCGTGTCAATTTTTGTTTGAGATACCGGGTTTCTTTCTCCAAGAGCGGT